ATCTACATATAAATCCTGTACAGATGCATACATATAACACCAAAACATCACATTTTAAATAAAACTAACGATGATGAACAGTGTGTGTTACGAATTCTGGTAACAGAATATAAGTTACTGTCTTTTTCTAATCATAATGTGCAGAAACACAGTTTGTTTAAAAAAAATCGTTGAACACCAGTTGAGGAACATTGGTTTGGGGGGGGGGTAACTTGTATCAATGTCGTGTTAACAATCCCCTTCTAATCCTTGACCGCATTTATATCTGTAGGAGGTATACTGACATGTAATTAGGGAGTATTCAAGAATAAAGTAAAAAAAAAGCTATCCCTCTACACGCCATGTAGGCGTTTGGGGGGGGGGGGAAATGAAAGATAAGCTAAAATGAAAACGCGATAATTTCTCAAATAAGACGGCAAAGAAAAACCTAGAAATAGACTATTCAGAACATACTTAGAAAGAAATAAAATCCAAATCAAACCTTGAGACTGCAAAAAAAACCCCTAAGATTCACTGCAAAACCTCCACACCACTGGACCGACCCAATGCCACCTATTTATAGAAAAAGGAGACAACGCATCTGAACCACCCTACAAATTGATAGAAGCTGAAGTGACCACCATGTACGAACGATAGACACTTGTCCGCCCTGGGCGTGCATGGCCAGAACTTTAAAAGGCAACGAGCTGATCGCAGTCCTGGAATCAGAAGAGAGATTGGTGTAGGTTGATGCTGCAGTTCACAAGTGTGTGGCAATTTCTTTAGAAGGAAACCGGCCCTCAGACACGTCACTGGCTCCCGTTGTAGACAACAGTGATATAAGTCTTATCATGCCTCAGTATTAAAATGGAAAAGTCTCTTCATGATTTCGCAGTAGAGATTTCTGGGAAGTGTTTTAAAGTGCTCACAATTATTGACGTTTTGGAGGGGGTCTCCAAACGGTAACAGTTTTTTCCACTTCGAAACGGCGCGATACCCAGAGAACAATATAATAAATCTCAGACTGCTTTCTGCAGAATTTAGATTCCCAAATAAATTTCTGTAATGCCAGAATTTCATGAGCCGGGATAGCTCAGTCAGTATAGTGACTAGCTACGGGCTGGACGGCCGGGGTTCTATCCCCGACGGGGGCAGAGGATTTTTCCTCTAGCCTCTGCGTCCAGACCGGCTCTGGGGCCCACCCAGCCTTCTCTACAATGGGTACCGGGGTCCTTTCCCGGGGGTAAAGCCGGTCGGGGCGTGATGCTGACCACTCACCCCCATCTAGTGCCGAGGTCAAGGAAGAGAGGAGATATACCTCCTCTCACCCCAAACGCCTACATGGCGTATAGTGGGACAAACTTTACTTTACTTTTAATGCCAGAATTTCTCTTAAAATTACAAGCACCGTCTCCAATTAAATCTCATAAGTCTGAGTTGTTATTCAAGAACATGACATCAAGAATTAATTTTTCCAAACTCATTCGACGCTACAGAAATTTAGCAGTCGAAACAGTGTCATGAAATAAATGATTAACCATTTATCCAAAGTTAAAGTGGCTGGGGCGTGAAGCTGGCCACTCATCTCCACGTAGTACCTAGGATGAGTGCATTAATATATATACCTACTCCCCCACACGTCTTCATAGTTTGCGATGACGTTATTTTATTATTTATTTAGTGTTCTGTCTGACGACAGGTCCATATGAACAGGATCCTTCCATCCTTTTCTCGGACTGGGACCTGTTCATATACGTTCTTGGCAGATGATCCAGAAGTGGTTTGCCATTGCCTTCTTCTGTGTGTGAATGGAGTAATTGTTGGGATGCCACGGAGAAACCGGGGAAGCCCCCGGAGGAAAACTCCGTGTTGCCTAGACCACGGCCTTGCCCAACACAAGTCATAAATTCGGGCACCGCCGGGAATCGAACCCGAGACCCCAGGATTACATGGCCAGCGTTCTAACCGCTAGACCACCGTGGCACTGCGATGACGTTACAGAATTAAGATAAACTTGTGCTACTCATGTCCACAAAACTGTATAAGTGGGTTGTGAACCCCGCAGAGGACTGTTTGCTGGCTGGATCACCTTGTCTTGCCTATTACGGTGCCACTGCAGAGTTTAAACGTGAAGTTGTGCACTTTCATTTACCCCACAAACATGCAAGGTACTGGTACATGAACAATAAACATTCTTTTTTAAAGGCTGCAAGTACAAACAAGGGAACAGGTTGGGAGTTTAAATGTTGCTTAACACTGTTCTTGTACGACAGAGATGGGCAACTACTTCTATCGCGGCCAGGAGAAAGCTACGGAGGATTTCTTGTGCGTGGTTTATTTAAAGACACTGTCACTAGTCCGATGTAGACTGACGAATTGAAAAGGTTGTGGAAGGAAGCGGTCGTGGTCGAATTTGAGGAAACATTCGGAAATACTTCTGAGCGACCGAAGAAATCCACGACAAGCCTCAGTTACCAAAGCCAGTCTGGTCTTTTAGCGTAGGCTACAGCCCGGATCTCACCAATATAGAGGAGGGGTTCTAACCACTCGACTGCAATATTATTGGTTAAACAGCCATCAGCCATTCAAAGTGGCTGAATTCTACGTACTTTATTCTCGTATACAAAAACGGCACGAACATGGAAGTTAATGTCACCTCTGTGCCATGAATGTTAAAGGGGAAATGAAGATATATTTCCACGCATTCTAACCTCGTCATAAAATGCAGGTGAGCGGCCAGGTTCACGCTACGGTCACTTTAACTCCGGAGAAAGAGCGCTTAGCATCCGGTGGCTGGGTGAGCCTAACAGGTCTGCAAGAAGGATGCGCGTACAAAAAGACCATCTTAAACTTTGACTGGAATTCTGAAGATATTAGAACAAAAAACCGAATCTACAGTGGGGACCAGAACATACGTCTGTTGCAAATCTCAATGCTAAGGAGGTACTAGAAAATGCGAATAACTGAATTATCATATGCCTATAACATCTGACACTACTACCGCGTGTCGAAATTTTCATTCTCTGGAAGAGGCGCGCTTAGAAAAGAGACATAGCTAATTCTTGTCCACGAGACTCGACATGTAGAGTTCGAGATCCCTGTAATGTGACGTCCTGATTGTCATATGATTGTGGTGCACCTTCGAAAAACACGGAAGTTTGGTCGGGTTTCTTTCTGACAACCTCGCGAAATTTAGACACACAACTTACGCATAATCGACGGGTTTTTATTAAACGTTTTCTATCTTAACTAATACTACAAACATGGCAAAGCTGCGAAACCAAGAGTTCGTTTTGGTAACTTTTACGTGGAAATTGTTAATAGCGAAAAATTACGCACACAAACAGATGGAGTTTCGCAGTTTTTATTTTACAGTTTCTACATACCTTACGACACAGATGAATGCAATTACAGGATAGTGGGCGTCGCGGGTTCTTCCTGGACCTTATTGTTTTGCCTCATATGGGACAGGACGAGAGGAGATTTAAAAGTGCGGTCAATCCTGATCAGCTGAGGAGAACCTTAAGCAGAACTTCGACTTGGGATGTGATGTTGCAAACATGAACGGCATAACAACCTCTTCATACCACGTGTTTATAAACTCGACAAACATTTAAACTGCAGTCGAGAGGTCGCAAAGGGGGAGTACTGTGAAATGAAAAAAAAAAGTCCATGATTTGCAGTTACATGACCAGAGTTCAAAGTACAGCGAAGATTTTTAAGATACACGTAACTGACCAACTTGGGAGTGCTGGCAGCGGACGTTAGTAAAAGGCTAGCCTCAGCTAGAGGCGCTGCTGTGGGGAACAAACACGACTAACGGAACCTACTTATATCTTCTACACAGCTTATTATACGTACCTTAAACATCAAATATGTTACAGTAACATTTAAAGACACTAGCCACGGTGGTCTAGCGGTTAGAACGCTGGCCTTGTAATCCTGGGGTCTCGGGTTCGATTCCCGGCGGTGCCCGAATTTATAGCTTGTGTTGGGCAAGGCCGTGGTCTAGGCAACACGAGTTTTCCTCCGGGGGCTTCCCCGGATTTTCCGTGGCATCCCAACAATTACTCCATTCACACACAGAAGAAGGCAATGGCAAACCACTTCTGGATCATCTGCCAAGAACGTATATGAACAGGTCCCAGTCCGAGAAAAGGATGGAAGGATCCTGTTCATATGGATCTGTCGTCAGACAGAACACTAAATAAATAAATAAAATAACATTTAGAGCGAATCAATCACGTAACAAACTTTCTGCATGTCGAGCCCATCTCAGCATTTGACTGAAAACCTGACAGGAAAAAAGGGGAGAGAATTGTTTACATGGTTTTCCTTAGCCTCACCAGGCAAATTCCGGGATAAAACCTTAAATCAGCCCATGAACACTTCTTTCCATTTTATTGCTTACTGATCATCCCATCATCTGATGGTACACTCTGACTTACCGACAGCATTCGTCAATAAATCACAAGGAAATAAATAAGTTCAATATTAACACTGACACACCTGACTTATATCAGTCTTGTTCTGAGAACTTGAGCACAGGCAAGTCAAGCGGCCAGCGTGCCCTGACTTGCTTCTGAGTCATCAGCACAGGGATACAAACCAACGCCCAACCTATTCAATTTTCAGCCTCTTCTCTACAAGAAGCCTTGAACAGAAATTAATAGTGGGTGGAATCTATGCTGCTTCGTAGCAGGGAATGTGGGAAGTCTCAAAACATGTTTTGGGGGAGCAAAAGGACAAATTCTCAAACGCCTCCTTCTCGCAGACAATGTTAAAAGAAGTGTTGACCTTTGACAGTTAAAATTCATTCCATCACTAATTTTGCATAATGTGAAACTTACTTTGACCCCCTCCCCCTTTTCCCCACAAACATTATACAGCTATATACTTTCTTCAGAGATCAAAAAACTAAAATTGAGGTCAACTCCATCTTGATTGAAATCAGAGAAACATTATGTCATACTCGGTGAAGCTGTGTCATCAGCGACACATTACTATAAAAGGAAGAAGAATGATGTCATGCTAATTTTAATGCCATTCTTTGTACACAAATAACAGGAAATAGTATCTAATACTAAATTATTTTCCTTTTGCCGTGTCCTTGTATGTCCCGTTAATTATAAAGGCAACATCACTTCACGTGTAGTCAGATTATTTCTGAAACATCTGCGACAAAATGTAAGTTTTCTTAACCATTTGAAACCCTACATTATATTTAAGCGTAATTACCCTGAATTATTCCTGAGTTACATTTTAAAGTGGACTGTATTATTCTAGCTCGATGTGTTCCTTTGTCATAATTTAGCCAATTTTCCTTATTTTTCAAGGATAGACAGGATTACGGAACCAAGTCTTGCATCTGTCCCTCTTCCATAAGAACTTCTAAACTGAGTGAAAAATTCTCATTGAAATTTGTATCGATATCATGCCAGAAGATGCCATTCCACTGTTGTGCTCTTAAATTCCCTTCTAGCAATACAGTAATGTAGTGGTCATGCCAACTTCTGAGGTGGGTGAGACATTAGTGCCAGGATTCTGAAGAGCTCCATGAAAAATATTCGACAAATAAAGTTTTATTGTAGAATGTAATATAACGCTGCAGCCACACATGTACATTTAGCGTTTTATCTACGACTTACATACTTTCACACCACTTTTAACTAGGTGAAATTTTAAGTCCCTGCAGTATGAGGATGACTGTCTTCTGGGACGTTTAATGACATTTCAGACATATAAGCAAGGTGACAAGACATCGCCTTGAAGACAGAGGCAATGAACACCACTGAAACGTTTGTAAACTTCCACCAGACTACATGGTGCAACATCCCAGAAGACAGTCATCTTAATTTTGGTGTTATTTTCCCACGTGGTCTCTTCCTTCAGAGTATTACGTCAAACATTATCATTTTACCTGGTGGTGTAAAAAAATAAAAATTTGAAGACTAATCCAGATGTAATCTCTGGAATGCAATCTACGCCGAATACATTTCAGAAAATGCCCAAGACAATTATTTCATACCGAGATCTATTTTTACCTCTGAAAGACTTGAATATTGATAAAATCCATGATTACATCAGAATTGTGATGATGCGATGTGATGGTGAAGGAGATGATAATGACAATGCTAAATATATATAAGCTTATTGACTTTTTATTACTATTGCTAAAGAGTGTCCCACTGAGAGAATCATTCCGGTTAAACTGCTTGAATATAACCCACCTAGCTTATACTGCAGTATTGAAGGTTCATGCTTCATTTTAATCCCATTGCAGGCAAAGTAACAGTACTGAGGAAGATTTAGCATTCTCCCGAAAGACACATTCATTTAATGAGAAATTCAGTCACCAAGTTGTTAAATTCCTCTGCATATCGCAAATGGAGGTTGTGTTTGCCATCTTCAAATGTATGGAGCCTGAAAACGAAAGATAAAGCTGATTTAAGCAGTGCTAAAAAGATACACAAGAACAGAATGAAAAATAAAAAAATAAATATGGAAGTTTGTATAAAAATAACTGCACTTTATATTGCAAGTATAGAAACGTCTAAAGTACAGTACTGTTTCACATTTACTCCCATGTTTCTTGAAAGTGAGAATAAAAAGAACTTTCCTGAACGTATCTTCCTTAAATTAAACTAGAGAGAGGTACAAAAGGGTTGTACTAAAAGAAGGAAACTCCATTCCTGAAATGTTAAGGACTTTTAATATCTTTTTATTGTAGTGAGGTATAAAGGCTGTTCAATTACGGTATACTACACTTGTCTTTATTACGTCTATCTATGGTCCAAAAGATCAAGGAATAATAAACAAACCCCCTATTTCTCCACATAATTACCAAAGAGACTAACACACGCATCCCAGCAATATGCAACCTGTTTCATTCTTGTCGAGAAGAATTCAGAGCTCAGTTCTTGCAGCCACCAGTGCAGCCCAGTACTCACCTCATCATCAGTATACACAAGACGGCAAAACACAAAAGAAAACTGTGTGTCTATCCACATCTTTTTCTTGGATAAGGGCAAAATCATACGAGTAAAATTAGAAGTGAAAATGTGGTATATTTCAGGCACGACAATAACAAATTAAAATTATATTCTTTCAGTTTGTGGGAAGAACAAAGACTAAGGTTGTCTGCGAACAAAGTGTTAATGGAAATACTCAGACAAGAGATAGCTGAAGTAACAACAGATTCTAAAAATTACATAATGAAGTTTTATAATTTGAATTCTTCACTTAATACTGTCAGGGTCTTTAAATTGTAGGATGCATGGAAAATGAAAAATAAATATCAAATGTTGGTCAGCAAACTCCATGGGTAAAATCACTTACAAGAAGGCATGGGTGTAAATGGGAGGATTTTAGAGAAACCTGGTTAAGAAGATACAAAAACAGATTCAAACTGGCTCTAGATACAGTCAAATGACAAGGTTTTGCAAACAAGATACTAAACTATTTTCCATAAAAGCAGAGAATTCTTTGATCAGCTGAATCATATCAAATGCTGAAGGAACACCTTCACAACGGAGTTAGGTAATTTATTAAGTCCACAGAGACTTTGTTTCATGGAAGTACTTAAAAATAGAAGTATCAGAAATTATGTTAGACCTTATAGTGTCCAGGCTAATAAATTGACCGTACAAAATTGTGTCAGCATTGACCGGACAAACTTTTGGAACTTGCGCATCCATTATATTGGACCGGAACATGCAACTACTCTCAGGTCAAAGAAACAAAAAGCTATGTCAAAAGTGGCAAGAAATGTATTTCATATCTAAAAACTGCAAAGCAGCTACAGTAGTTGTTTTGTAACAACTACAGCAAATTTAAAAAAAGGTTAATGTACTTTTTGGTCCTGGGAGATTGTTTCTAAAAGTCGTAAAATTGACTAACTTGCTGTGCTGAATGTGTTTCAGCAGGTATCCAGGATGTTCAGGTGCTAACATGGCATCCTTATTTCCATGAACTATTAAGGTGGGGCAGGTGATCTTTGACAAATAACCCTTGCATATATCACCATTCTGATTTTTGTAGATGTCAAGAAGTGCATCTACCCACTGAGTCCACATTGCGGACAAACCTTCTTCTCCATACAGATTTATTAATGGAGTTTTCATACGTTCTGACCATTTGCTTATGTCACGCATATCTGCAACAAACAATAATTACAATTATGTCATACTGACATAACCTCATTTGTTACTTTACACTCTGTCTTCTCAACAAAACACCCACGATTCTGGAGTTCACAGGTACGGACGACGCAACCACAGCTCGCCGCAGACCACCTGCGGCCACCGGACCATCAGATCAATAGCTAAGTGCAGAGTTCAACTCCTGTGAATAACATCTAGTGCAGTGTCGCTTGAAATACCTTTGTCAAATACCCTGTTTCATTATTTATTTTCTAAATCCAGTTTAAAAGATTTGATTAAATGAATTAATTTCCCTGATACCACTGACGATGACCTCTTGAGGTTGAAACGCGTATGGCAATAGTGTCTTTTTTATGGTGTTAAAAGTTGTTTGTTTGCTTATTTTATATATTATTAATGTTGAGTTATATAAAATAAAAAAGTTATGATGCACTAATATCTTTCAAAAAGATGACTTATTCTAGGCTGTTGCACTGTATAGTCTGGTAGAAGTTTACTGATGTTTCAGAGGTGCTTTCTGCCTCCAACATCAATGATACAGGCAGTGACCAGATGTAAACAGATTACATAAGGAAACACAGTAAACTATATATATATATAGACACACACTTCTTAGAAAGTTGTAACTTACTTTCATATATTTTTGCCTCTTGGTCAACGACATAAGAATTTGCTCCCCATATCACCAACTTGTCAATCTGTTCTGGATGCTTTGCAGCAGCAATCATAGCTGTAATTCCACCATCACTCCATCCCAACATAGAGAACTTGTCTATGGACAATGTCTACAATATTACAAAATTAATTTTTATGTATGAAAAGGAAGCATTTTGCTTCAAAAAGAAGAAAAAAATCCAATTTTGATAATTTTTAGAATTCAGAGGCAGAAACATCAGAAACTCTACAACTGAAGATATGGGAGCAACACTGGGCTAACAAACAAGTTGGGAAATTTGAAACAATAACAAAAAGTAATCTCACTATCACAGTTTATCTTTTTTATTGTGGCACATGTAGTTTTTAAAAATTTAAAGTTGTGACTTTCAGTATCTAATAAACTGGAATTACACCAACCATATTCAACTTCATTTCCATTATTTTAAGTTTTAATAAAGTGTGAGTTGATCCATTTTTGTTTCCAAGTCTTCAGTTACAGTGAATTTTTACTTATCTGATCATATTTCACCTGCATGAGTTTCAATGCCCAGTCAGCATCTCGATGAAAGAAGTCTTGTGGGAAATCACGGGTCGGAGGGCGGCTATTTCCATATCCTGGTGGATCCCATGCTATAACTGTGAATTTAGACTTGTCCAGACCTTGTACTTGTGGCTTGAAATCACTCCATATTGATCCTATATCATGAAAAATATAATTACTATTATCATAATCATTTCATCACTGCCATTATCATCACCAATGTGATCATGAGACTAACCCTTTCAATTCCTGAATTCATATTACATTACTCACCATTCATATAACATCTATTATGTTTGAATCCCATACTGTATTCATGAGCAGATACGTACCTATCTACCAGTTTTTAGTGCTCATTTCTGTCAAATGAATGCAAGCTGGGTGGGGAAGGTAATAAAATGAAATAAAAAACTTAATATTTTCTATTTCACCCATTTCTGCAACCTTCCTGATTCAACTAAAAAGTTTTACAACTGTACTTTTCATCCCATTCTAGAAACGTAATTTTTAACTTTCCTTTTGTATGCCTATAAATTAAAAATTTAATAAAACAGAAATTTAAACCATTTAATATGCAGTTATGGGACATCTGTATGCTTACAGAATGTGGTTTGAGTATGATGTACCTGGCCTTTTAGCTGAAACATTTTTCTGTGATGGCCATAAACAAGATTTGAGCAACATCAAGAGCAACTGTACAGACAACTCACTGACACTCCCATGACCAAGACTTCATACACCATTCTAATACTGCAAAGCAACTAAAAAACATGCAAATTAGCAGCCCAGAACATTCATTATTATATTTTCAATAATTTTGATTTGAAGAATTATTTTAAGAAGTACTGACCTAATGCTCCTGGGAGGCAGAGTACAGATTTTGGGCCACATCCGACTTTAACATAGTTGATTTTTATTCCATCTACCGCTACTTTACTCTCCTGTTAATTAAAAATTAGAAAATCAATAAATAACACTCAACTGGAAACATTACAAACATATTAATTCCATTATGTAATGGTACGCATTCGTTAAACATAACCTAACCTGCGGTGCAGAACTATATGATCTATTCACAGGTACTGCACTTCGAACAAATACATAATCATTTGCGACAAAATTTCGTAACATTTTTGCAATCGCCCTACCCAAAATAAACTTCATTTTTAAAAATTAGTATTTGAATTATTTAAACTTAATGGACCCTGCTTCCGAACCACAACCAGCGCCTAATTTATCGTGCCTTCTACTCTAGCGTCGTTTCTCTGTGTTCTCAGAGCTATAGTGTTGACTGAAATCAATAAACAACTTGTTGTATTTGTCCCAAAGTCCGTAAATGCATCCGTCGTTTATCAAGATATGTACATCGTCGTTAATTACTGTAGTTCTGGGTAGAATTACAAATATCGGAAGCAGCGTCTACACCTCATGCTTCCTACCGTTATATCTAATATTCATTCTGATTTTTCTGCTAATTCCTTTATTAACGACTTTATAAAAGATGCCGTAATTCAAGACTATTCCTGTAAATAATTCTACCATCACGTGTTATCTTTTTACCTGTCTCTCAGCAATAATATTTTTGGTACTAGGCCAGGAGTGGCCAACCTTTTCATTACCGTTGGTCGCACTGCCTAATCTATATTTTTGTTTTGAGCAGGGTGGGGGAAGGGGGTGCACGGTATAAAAAAACAAAAAAGTTTTGCTGGTGTTACTATTCCTGTTGTAGTTTGTTCAAATCCACCACTTTTACCACCATTTACAATTATATTATGCCTTAATCAGTGTCATATATATCTTTTTCAGATGACATATTTTCAGCATATGCAGTGACTTTCTTAAAAGAAGAGTAGTGGGTTGGCTGAAATAGGTCTTTCCATCAAATCGAAAAACCAAGTAGAGTAACCTGTGAATTGTTGAATGACCCTCCTTAATGTCTGTTGGACTACTAAAATGTTGGTGAAATATAGATAAAGGTAAAGTCAACCCTGTTGCTTAACTAAGCACCACAGTCATGCAGAAATATGGGGGATGGAGGTATAGATCCAGGCACTCTTAACTAGATGAAGCTGAGTGGTCAGCTTCATGGCCCAGATGCTTTATGCTCAAGGGAAGAACCCTGGTACCCACGGGACAGAAGACTGTGTGGGCCTAGACATTGTGGCAAAGAGAGAAGTCCTGCACATGTTTACAAACATGCACATTTCTGTTTCCTGGAATATGAAATAATATCTTTGATTTTTGTTTTGATTAAATTATGAACTGAAGCATTACATTTTCGTCGTAGTCCTTCGAATAATACCATATCACAAATGTCCTAAGTCAGTGATCTTGTGTCAACTGGCAGAAAATAGCCACTGAGTAAATGTGAAAAGAAACAAATAGGTAATACTTCTTTATTGCATGTTATGCATCTATTTTTCCTGTTAATATTGCTGATTCAGTAACAGTAAGTACAATTTCAATCTAAAAATTCTTCAACCACTTTGTTGAACTCATCTTTGTGGGTCAAATGAATGCTGTGTTTTCCTTCTTAGATTATGTGCAACATAAAAAGACAAAATAATACCCAGAAAAAGTGTGAAATATGTATGCCTGATCTGGCTTAACTGAGCTGGGTTAGGAGGTTAACAGACGGAATCACGAGACATGAGTAACAACCATACGGGGGTTTTCCACATTGTAATTTTTCACTCCTCACAATCAAATGTTGGACATGTTAATAAGATTTATAAATTCTTCCAGCTCCAATGTTGTTAATTTACTGTTCACATTCATTCTAATACATAAACTGGTTTTCTTTTATTTAGTGGTTTCATTTCAATCTTGTATAGGAAGGATATGGGAATGACATATGGGGAAAGGTTTGATTCTTGGAACAAGATAGTAATAAATTTCTTGCTCTTTATTACACAGAGTTATAAGACTGAAGTGTGAAGGAAAGTATTTGAACTTAAGCAATGTAAATTAAGTAGAAAATTAACAAAATTACATAATGAGGAATTTTGTGATTATATTTATAAGCCTGTTTTTAAAAGAGATCATGATGTGCCCTGGATGCATACTGAATGGGTAAAGGAAGAAATACTCATAGAATGTTGGTAGGAAAATCTCTTGAAAAGATACTATTTGGATAGTCAAGGCAGAAACAGAAAACAGGACTTAATATTTGTGGGCTCTAAAGCCAGAAAGTTGGAGTTAGATAGACTGAGGAAACCAAAACTCATAATCAGATTAGATATGCACAGGTGGTTTGCACCCTACAACCAGAATGTGCTAACATTGGTCTAATGTTACATTTTTCCCATATATTTCACCCTTGCATGTCCCATTCCCTTTTTGATGAACGCACAGACTTGGTAAAAGCTCCATGTAGCCGAAGTGTTGTATAATGCCTCAAAAATAATTTCCATTCTGAAAGGGGGGGAAAACAAACAAACAATAATATAACTATGTATTTAAACTGTAGATCTGAAACATATTAGAGGCACAAAAATAATATATTTTTAAAACCAAAAATACACAATCACCATTAGCAAAATTATTAATGACTGATATAGAGATAAAACTACACTGAAATGCAGATCTTGGGTTTCTTGATCTAAGGTTACTCTGTATTTTGTTTTCATTTTTTGATCCCAGCCATAGCTCCACATTATACATTGTTTTCAATGAAGGTATTACCCCCACTTAAGGAATAAATTTAGGTCCCTGTATGAAATATGAACCTCAGTTCAATGTTCATGTGAACACAGCATACACAATTTGTCATTGTCAACAATGAGTTTGAAGCCAAAAGGAATACATAGTCTTTTCCTCCCTTGCAGATTGCTAAAGTTATTTCCTCCCCTGCCACCACTGCTTGGTGAAGCCATGTAGCTTGATAAGGCATTATTGCATAAGTTAATCATGGAGTTAAAGGTTATATTATTTCATAAAATAATACACTTGATTTGTATGAAAGCAACCTTTTTCTTGTTACAGTTGTACTTTATGTTATTTGTTCTAACATATGGTCATATGCAAATCCCACATTCTGGAAGTGTTTTTATATATTCTGCTTTCTGTGACAGTCAGTAGTACCTGGAGTTTCTAATGTGCTGCATGAGTCCATATGAATGCATGTATAATATTTTAACCATGTTCTAGGGGATTTAAATGTTCTCAAATGAATGGGCACATGTGATCACTATGCTATGCCCTTCTCCCCTTAACATTTAAATTAGCAGGCCAATTTTTAGAAAAATTGATACAAACATTATGTCACTGTAGCCACATATTTTTCTTAAAATTTCCCAACAGTAATATTATGTAAATGCAAATTTATGACATTGGAGTGACACCAGCACCACTTTATAATAGTGTCCTGGAATTACGTATCTTCAAAAATGCCTTTACCTTAAACTGAGTGATGACTAATGACCCATTTCAGCTAGGCACATGAAATCTGGTACAGTAACATACCTACAAATTGTGCATGAAATACTGTAAGCCAATAATTACAAACATGACAATTGTGCAAATTTGGGTTACATTCGACTTTAATCAAAACACTAACCAGTATTAATGACACTCCCATGTATGTATGCACAACTATCATGTTAATATTATTGATGGTAATAAATTAAAAGGTACAGAGTTTGATGCCCTCCAGCTGCACAATGACCGCACCAAATTCAATGAAAATTCAACAACCATCTCTCCTGAAATAGAACTAAAATGGCAAAAGTATTAGAGAAGGCAAACATACTCAAATCAGATGTGGTAAGGTAATGTTAAATTCATTAAACTCTTGTAGTTTTATGCTGACACAAAAGAATAGTCAGCACCGATTCATGTTATCAGTACTGTGACAGAAGACGAACTGAAATGGTGGCAGTTCAATCATGATACTGGTGTTTCATCAGCAGTGGTATAATTTCTGAATTTCACACTGAAACAACTTTGACATTCACCACAAATGCAGTGTTATGCTGCCTTGTTAATCCTGCTATTTTTTTATGTTTGGAGGTTGGAGTGTAAGCCCCTCAAGTTCAAACCTTGTCAGCAAGAAACCCTATTTTGTACGTGCGGATTGTCCTCTGAAGCACCACAGCTCAAAAGAGCTGTGGGATGGAAATTTCTCTGTATAGAATTCAATGACTACACAGAAACATAAAAAAAATTAATACTAATAATTTCATTATGTTACAAACAATTTATAAGTGGTTGGGGTAAATAACACTCATGGAATTAATAATCTGTACTAAGTATAATCATACTAGTACAAGATACAGAGAATTATTACTGGGAAATCCCATTTTTACATACATGATTTTGTAGGAATAATTCATTGTAATAGAAGTCAATAGGGCAAAAGGAAAATAAGATACATTTTATGAAAACATTATTTAGTTTTCACACTATTTATAATTTTAACATTATAGAATTTCACACATGAATGAAAATGTACACCAGTGGAAAGGAACTTCAATTTGTATTTTACTCATCGTATGCAAAAGGGTAACACATATACATTAGATATTGTATTCTGCAGAACGGCTATATTATCTATTAATATACAAATAAAACATATTTTTAAAATAAAAAACATTTTGATTTTCTATAGATTATATCTGAAGAAAGGGAAATAGACACGTCATGACATGACAAATGGAAAAAATTACAACTATAAATGTCTCAGAGGACTCGGCAAGTGTGTATCTTAGTTTTGCACATTTGGTTTTAATGACTACTGCAGCAACAGAATAAATTTAGCTACAAATTTATTCCCTGTACCACATGAATATCTCAAATATTACTATTAAAATTCAGAATTTTATTTATGCTTATGAAAGTTTATAAAAAAATTACACAAACACTATTTCTGTTTATATGATGGCACTACTGAAAAATTTGTACTATGTTCTACTGACCAAAGACTTGACACACTGAAATAAACCATAGTTTTGAAAAGGCCATTCCAAATGTATGAAAAACAAAGGCATGTAAGAATATCCAACATGTACAATCATACAGTGTGGTCAGATGCGACTGTTATTCAAAATTATAACGATATGCATGCTGAAGAAATTGAAAATAAATAGTTTTAAAAATCTGTGAAAAACAATATCAAATCAACAAATATCGATGTGGTTCTTAGTTGCATGCACTGCAAAAAAACTAGAAACACTGGTGACAATTTCAAAACACGACAAGTCACAGATCACGTGGTCTTTAATTCAGACGTCATCTGTAAATTTCACTGTGATTCACTCTTCTTGTGCTCAGCGAGAACACGATGTCTCATTTCAACCTTGTCTGGCCATAGAACAGCCGCTTGTGCGTTCATTGGACTGTCATTGTTGGGTTCTGAAAAAGAATTGAACTGGCTTAACACGTGAACAGAAAACCCGCCTCAGAGTCGTAGCAGATGTTATTTTCACATTATCTTTGCGGGAAGTTGTAAATTATATTAACATGATAAAAGCATCAACAAGGAAAGAGACAACAGGTTACCAGATGTTGTATTCGGAATCTTTGAAATGAAAAAGGTACATTGAACAGTAAGAGCAACAGGGTACTATGAAAGGTCAAACATTCTCAAAATTTCCATATGGTGAGAAGATTTATGTGAATTAATATTACATTCAAAAATCTTAAACCTATGCTTGCACATGCCATTAGGGAAACAAGAAATGCATACTTTTGGTTGGAAAACAAACTGGGAGGCACTGGTACATACAGGAGAATAATATTAAAATGGATCTAAGAGAAATAGGTTCTGAAGATGTTAACTGAATTACACCAATTCAAGACAGGATCCAAATGGCAGGATATTCTTGAACAACTGAGGAACTATAATCTGCTTAAGTAAGAGCATGTATTATATATTTATCAGGTTGACCATCAAAGATCTGTTGCTGTATTGTGTACCCATATTCCACATTTTTGGCAATGTATGACTATAGTTTTAACTTACCTCCTAAAAGAGATTGAATGGATAAGAGAATTGTTCGGACATCATACAAAGCCGACCACTTCTCTTTCAGAATATCAAGACAGATGTTTCCAAGCTGATCAATGTTAGGATGGAAGATTGATGTAATAAATTTGACAACTGGAGCACTAAATGGGTAACTATGAGGGAACTCCAAGCACAATTTGAAAGTCAAGTCTTCATACACCTATCAAAAACAGAAACAATACAACTTACAGAAAAATTTTCAGATCATTTCACAAAATGTCATAACCCTACACCGAGTGTTGAGTGTTATCGCCATTTCACAAGCACGCATGGCCACCATGTTGATATTGATGAAAGTTAAAAGTACCAAAATAGACATTCATACGAAGTTCCCAAAAATTGATCAATCAGTGTTTATAATACTGATATCTACGTCATGAGACAGGTTAACGCACATATATATGTTACCAATATGGCCCAGGTTTGGTAACCTCTTACTAATTTGAGAGAATAATGCACCCTTCACTTTAGGCACAGGCTTTCCAAAAGGAAGGAGACTCCTAAAATGTCAAATTGTAGGACAAAAATATCTGCATAAAATGTACAGTTTTGGTGTCCCCTCCTTACAGAAAACCAGAAACAAAGTTTGACACATGTGGGCATGCATTATTGTGCCGAAGGAAAAGTGCATTTGTTGTTTCTCTGGCCAATGTTATGTGAAATGTCTGTCTTTGGAAATTATGTTATACCAATGTGTGTGTATATATATATATATATACATACATACACATACACACACACACACACACATTGGCCAGAGAAACAACAAATGCACTTTTCCTTCGGCACAATAATGCATGCCCACATGTGTCAAACTTTGTTTCTGGTTTTCTGTAAGGAGGGGACACCAAAACTGTACATTTTATGCAGATATTTTTGTCCTACAATTTGACATTTTAGGAGTCTCCTTCCTTTTGGAAAGCCTGTGCCTAAAGTGAAGGGTGCATTATTCTCTCAAATTAGTAAGAGGTTACCAAACCTGGGCCATATTGGTAACATATATATATGTGTGTATATATATATATATATATAAAACTAGCACATCAATTTTATCACTCTTCGCTTCTTGCATTGTATGAAACGATTCTGTAGTAAATTTTATCAGGCAAATGCAAAACCTGACTGCAGCGTTCCAATCAAACTCATTTGTCTACTTTTGCACACAATTCAATACATCTGCCTTTCTCCAACAGTTACTCACAATTGGAAATATCAACAGTGGATTGAGGGGTGTAACTGATTATTAACAAGAGAAAACCTTTCCAATCGTGATGCCATGTCGTGCACCCCCTTTTTATAAATGAGGCTCTGGCAACCAAGTCATGACAGCTGAATCATTACATCTCGTTTGGAGTAATAAGGTTTCATTTGTTCAATTTATTAAAAGTTGCAAATAAACAAAGCAGTTAAGCCAACCCAGCCTGCATCAATCAAATAAATGCTGCTGTCTTGTTTTCAATAACAAGCACACTGAAGGTCAATTCATGTTTAAGAATTTTAACTTTTATTAGTTAATGCAGAATTAATTTGTATTGCATAATATATGTAATTATAAATATATTACATCTGAATGCAATAACATGATATTCCTCAGTCAAGCTGTACTTTATAAAGTGCCAGGTACGCACAATTTTGTTCATTATCAACATTGCCATCACTTGTTACACAAACAGACATTTATCATAAGTACATTACTTACTAGGAGATGGACTCTGTGTAGTGCTGCTGAAGTTCACTATATTTAACAGTACTTACCGTTCCCTTAGGACCAGAAATGGTTCCTATCCACTTAAAAAGGCTTTCTCCTTCAGGAAATGCTGATACACTTTTATCTGTATTTATCTGAAAGAAAAGTCATAGGTAGAACTCAAAGCATTATGGCTCGTAATCTACATGTAACTGCAATATAATCATATGAAGAAAGTAAATAAATGGTTTTGTGATAGTATGTAACAGTTAAAAGTGTACTCTGAATGGGAGTAAACAATTTCCAAATATGTTCTTTGTAATTCATTGCTCTTAACATTTATTTGCTGCACAACAAAATCTACCTAGAACTATCCTGCACAAAAGAAGATATAATTCTTTCTTATAATTAATTTGTGCAAGACATTAAAGAAATTTTATTTAAGAATACAGATCTTTTTGTTTTATATTTTATGTAAAAATGTTTTTATCATTAGTCACTCTTGCAGAAATGTGATATTTTATTTAAGGTTTGACAAACATTCTTATCTCATGGTTAGCTTTTGTGATAAGACCATTCTACCTGAAGGTGGGCTGCTTTAGGGGAGGAGATAAAATAATTCAATTTCAGCTTACTTGGCACACATAACATTATAACCTACAATAGCTCAGTGACTAAGTTTGAAGGTTTCTGACAATGGTGTGACACACTGTATAAAATAATGTTGTATTGTTCTGAAAGAGTTCAGTTTGTAGTAGGCTCCAAAATAGTTCCAGAGGCCACCTATGTTTGAATCTAAAATCAAACATTGGTTCTCTTTTCAGTTGTTTAGGCAGGTGAATGAAGAAGGAATATTTCAAATTTCATAAGGTAATAGCTGCACAAAACACAAAGTTAATATATTTATAAGAAGACTAAGGTTTACTATCTTAACAGATTCAACAACATAAACTCTTGTAAGAACTACTGCTTGACCTGATGTCATTTATTGTTAATAATGCCAAATGAATTATGGAAAGAATGGTAAGGGGAATTACACAAAATAATTAACATACTCTAAAGAAAAACATATAATTCAGTAAAGTTATTTTTTACCCACTTTATAAATCAATACAACAAATCAAAAGGATCCATCACTGACATGAGAAACAGTGAACTTGCATTAGAGATACAAGAATAAAATACTGAACTAAATAAGTCCTGCAAGAACCTAAGCAAAAATAATTTTTATACATTGCTTCCGTCAGGCCATACGTACCATTAATTCCATCAATTCCTTTTGCAACCTACGAAAGGAAAATAAAAATCGTGCATTAATTTTGGGAATAAAGAAATCGTAACTTAAAGTTCATAATTATGGGCATGTATTTTCAAAATAAATTGTGTTCTGTATATAAATTACGTTACTGTAACGATATAATGCATTTTTCACTCATAAATTTAATATCATTTGAAATGTTTTTTAAAACGAGTTATTACTCCAAATATTTGTAGATGAGGGCCATCTTTCATTGGTGTACTTAACGCAAGCACAAAATACCTACCTTTTCGTTACAGAATGATTATCTTGGGAATGACTGTGTGTCTCTTCATCCGTCTTTGTATCAGTAGTTGAAGCACTCACAAGTGGGTTAACATTTTGGGCCATTATTACAACTGATAACCGTTACACTTTCCAGTTTGAAACAATTTCACCAACTGTAATTTAAAAGGAATATTAACCAATCAATGATCTTAGTTTCTCCCCTGTAATTCACCAATAAGAATCAACATTATTAATTGCACATCCGGTTCCATAACCAGTGTCACCATCTTATGAAAATATAAGATCATTACACATGCCCTAAGCCTAAGTTCTACAGCAATCCATATTCCGTTGCAGTATTAGGACTGCTTCACGGGAGTGGAGAATGGGTATTTTGGATTATACTGCAGTTCCTGATGAAATTGCATCTTCCATCATTCTAAACGTCCATGTAATGTTGCCAACATAAGCATAATGTTATAAGCACGTTTCTTTCGGCTTCGGGTGAATTAGTTTAGTATTGACCTTTGTAGACCGCCTAGT